TATATTTCATTTTGTCCACAGGTTTGCCCCTATAAGATAGGTGCTTTTGTTCTCATTTTTAGATGAGGAAACGGGTCCTGGAAGGTAAGAGAGCATTCAACTTAGGGTGGAGGAGGAGAATCTGAATAGGGTGAGTTGAGCATCTGACTTGTTAGGTGCTCGTATTGTTTACTTAAATACTGAATATTTCAGGTATTCATTGTGTTTGAAGGTGACATTCCTTCACTCACTGAAAGGTGAACTTGAGAAAAATTTATTAGGGTAGGATAGATACAGATATAGATATTGTTGTCTTTTGACAAACATATAGTCAGTGGAACCTAGCCTCTGGGGGAGGAGCTCATTTTACTTGTGGTTTCATATACTGTCCTGTAGGTACAAATGACCTTTCTATGGATGCAGTCTTTGATCTTACTGGTTTGGGTTGGGCATTCATTGTTGTTGAGTACTTGTTCTAAACTTTTAGGTATTTTTAATCCAGAAAGCTTTTATGTTTAAAATTTCATTTGGATATAAAACATTGTTAATTTTTCTTTCAAGGATTTTGGTGAAAACAGAAATTCTATATTATAATGTATTATGAACAGAAGATTAAAATAGTCATTTTCCTGAAAAAAAAAAAAGTGATACTTCTGAATCCTAGCTCTTCAGTGATGAGAATGGGATTTTTTCACTTGGCCTCTCCTGCTAGTGAGGAAACTTTCCTAGAGATGCTATGAGAAAGATTGTTGGAAAAAGGTTGTCTAGATTTGAGGATAAGAAGCTTAAAAGACTCCACATTGGCCGGGGAGATGGCTCAGTAGGATAAGCACTTGACTGACAAACGCAAGGATCTGAGTTCAATTCCTGGTTCCACCAAAAAAGAAAAAAAAGAAAAGATTCCACATTGTCATTAGAAAAATGGGGGAGCCAGATAGCTCAGCAGACTAAAGGGCTTGCTTAGGCAGAGTGAAGTGGCCTCGATACCAGGCGTGCCGTGCCAGCCCTGCCCACGGGACTCCCTGAGACGGCAATTGAGACTGGTGTGGTGGTGCATGCCTGTAATCCCTGTGTTTGGGAGCTGAAAACAGGAGGATCACTAGGAGTCAAATCTGTGTAGTGAGACCCTGTAGACCCTGAACTAAATACACGCAAAAAAAAAAAAAAAAAAGAAAGAAAGAAAAAGAAAAATGGTATTCAAGCTGGGTGTTGGTGGCTCATGCCTGTAATCTCAACACATGAGAGGCGGAGGCAGGAGGATTGCCATGAGTTCCAGGCCAGCCTGGCTGGGCTACATAGTGAGTTCAAGGCCAGCCTGAATTATATACAGTGAGACCTTGTGTGGAAAGAAAAAAAAAGAAAAAGGTATTTATTATGTGCTAGTTTTCCTGATCCCAGAGCTTCATTTTCACCAGTTTGTCTGCTTGTCTTTTGGGGGGGGGGGTTGGGGTGTTTTGTTTTTGTGACAAGTCCTTGCTCTATTGCCCAAGCTGGCCTTGAACTCACTATGTAGCTCAGGATGGCCTCAAATTTGAGGCAATCCTTCAGCCTCACCACCACTGTTTGAAAGACAGCAGTTGAGGAGAGGCTCTGTACAGAAGGAGTAAAACAGGAGAATCCAGTACAAGGACTTCATAGTGAATGAATGAATTAAGGCAGGGGAGCAGCAGACGCTGTCCACTGAATGAAAATAAAAAGATATGCAGTGTTCAAGGTCAGAGCAAAAGTAAGGATCTTAGTTTACTTTGCTAATTCCTTAGATTTGCATCTTAGTTCTCGCATTAGCTTGCATGTATATATAAACTTAGACTTCCTAAACCATTTTCTTTCTTTTCCAAAGGTGACAGACATTTATAGGAGACACACAGTCACTGTAGCAGTTAAGCTGAGGAATATATCAGAAACTCTTCCTCATTTTCTGTTCCCCTCTTAGGCTGACAAGTTCCTTGGTGTGTTACCTGCTTCTGCCGCTGATGCAAACTGCAGAACTTCTCATTCATCCCCATGGCCTCCAGGCAGTATCCAATGGGGAGTCAGCTCTAAAAGGAACCCAACCAACGTTTCCTAGCCCCTTCATTCTGGTGACTGATGGAAAGAAAGAGTGAGAGGGACAATATATATGAATACTGCATGAAAAAGAAACAGACCAGCAAATTACTATATATTTTCCTTATCTGAAGCCATGTTAATTGTATTGTGTGTATATATCTGGGGAAGTTGGAGATGATGAACTTCATTAGAAGTGACTAGAACAAACAGGGTAAGAGTCAGTTGATTTTGAAAGATGTTGATGTTTTGAAATAATGTGTTACTTCTATGTGAGGAAAGGATAGAAAACGTTCAGGACATCATCTTACAGACTCATCTACAAAATTGCAATAGCAGTGACATCTACACAGAAGACCTGTAACTGCAAACAGGATGAGGTTACCTCAGTGACATCTCTTGATGCTGCTCAAACAAGTTTGATTTTTGTTTGGGGGGGTGCATGAGAAAGACTGTACTTAAAAGACTAAAATAATTTTATGTCTATACTTTCTCACTTGTTTTTATTTTTTGTTTGTGGTTATTTTGGCGGGAGAGGAAGGATTTGGAGATAGAATTTCACTTCATATCTGGAGTGAAGGGGAGGATGTGAAGCCCAGCCCTTCACCCAAGAATAACCCAGTAATGACATCTCTAAGCGTGGGAAGTGTTTCCCTCAATACTGGGAGGATCTAAGGCTGCACCCCAGTGGTATTCCCAGCTTGAATTGGAAGACCATTCAGAGGGCGATGCCATGTCTTAGCGAGAGCACCGAGAGCTTAGCCTGCCTGGGATGAAATGCCAAACAGGAGAGATGAGGTCGAAGGGACGTCCCCCAGTTTGGAGGTGGGGGCAGTGCTGCATGTGATTTAAGAGCTTGGTGCCTGCCAAGGCCTGTGTCCTCCGCTGAGGGTCTGACACGAAAGCGACGCTTCTGGGCGCTGAGTCCGAGTCACGAGAAACAGCCCAGCTGTGCCCAGGCGGCCAGCGCCAGACCCTGGCGTCCTCCATCTTCTCTCCTGAGCTCCCCCTGCTCCAGCTGCCAGAGCTGCGGACCGCAGCACCACACACCCCCGCGGGGGGGGACGCCGCGCCCCATCCCCGCCCCCGGCCCCACCCCGGCCC